TTACCCTTTGTGCCCTTTTTACTGGCCTTGGCTTCCTTCTTCACACCGGCCTTTTCACTTCCAGATTCTGAGACTGAATCTTTACCCTTTAGGCCTTTTTTAACTTTCTTGCTGTCTTTCTTCCCACTAGCCTTTTCACCTTCAGATTCTGAAGATAATCTTCCCTTGTCCTTCTGTAAATCCTTTGAAATTTTCCTGGCAGCTGGTTTGGGACTTTCTTGCTTGTCTGTCTTTAACGCTGTCTTCTCTTTCGCTTCAGATTCATCTTTTTTCAGTTTCACTTCTTTCTTTGATTTTTCTGAAGTCGAAGGCTTGTGTGTGCCCGCTCTTTTAGACTCTCCCTTGCCAAAACGAGATGGTTTTGGTGGAAGGCCCTTCCTGGCAGCTAAATAAACGGATGGTCTCTCGGATATTCTCATCAGGGAACGGTGCATCCATAATGGTGGTCTGTGAATTCCTAATTTTTGTTCATCAATTACCTCAATGTTGGTAAGAGTAATGAGGGGGAAAACATGGTTTATATAGCTTTTTATAATAAGATACCGCATACATATTTTAATTTGAACTGGAAATACCTTTTGAATATATATTTTTAATAGTCTTAAAATATATATTGTAAAAAGCGGATACATTGTGGATATTAAGGTCTATTCCACCTTTGAATTTCATTATAATTTAGAGTAATGGTCAATTTTATCCCTGCTTGTGATTTACTTTTAGTGGGGTCACAATCTTTCTTTAAGATTTAATGTTAAAATTTGGTAAAAATATCCATTGGTCCATGGCACATTAAAAACTCTCTTCATTATTAGGAGAGGTTAATTTTTAACCTTTAAGTAGGCATTTTTGGGGGAAGTGGGTACACTATCTTTCTAGATGAAATTTAATAACTAGTTATTCTCTGAAATAGAATGTCTTATTTGCTCTTATCTCAACCTATAATGTCATTTTCTGTACTTTATAATGGTACCTACAGTTACAGGTACAACTCTGAAAGTTCTTGACTTTATATAAATTATCATCAATTGAGAACATAGTCTACTATGGTTACACATTTATAAATATAATTAATTTTCAATTTCTATCAAAGTATTTGGAACAATTAAAAGACAAATTGCTAATTTTAAAGAAATTTGAACAATAAAATAAATTGAGTAAAATAAAAAGGAAAAATAGAAGTTGATCATAATTGTTGGGATTCATTCCTAAAATAAAAAGATGATCATTCATTATTTAAGGCAAATTTCTTTAACCACGAATTACTCCAGAGATTTTGAAAATACTTATCTTCCAGCTTTCATTTTTTTTAATTCTAAATTTTATTTTGAATTAAGGAAGCATTAAAAGTTCACCAGGGTGTAGTATCATTGCAGGACACTACTCTGATAGTTTATATTCAGTAAAATTTTCCTTGATATTCACATTAATTGTGAATTGAAGTATCTTGAATTTTTGCTCTATAAACACTCCATTTATTTCAGATAATAACATTGAATGAAATGTTAGCATACTCTAGTTATCATTAGTCAAAATGGATGGCAATTATATAAAATATGTCTATCATGACAAGACTCCTGTTAGCCCTTATCCACAAACCACAGTTTACAATGTATGACTTTACAAGATTATTGTTACTAAGTGGTTACTTATTGTTAATATATTCATTGTATTTTAATATACTTACAGGAGCTGTATTGTTCTGTAACTGAGAAGGTAGTGATCTCCGTTTCTTTCCTGGCCTTGGTGGTTTGGGAAATGCCAGGGAAAAGTATTGCTGATTCCATGATTTTTTGCTTAATTCACTGACTAAAATAAGAAAGATAACATATGCCTTGCTATGAATAGAATTTTGTCTGAAATGAAATGGACATGCATGTGATATATACAATACAATGAATGAATAAATGAGGCATATCACAGCTTCATTTATTTGTTAGATTGAAATTCTCTGTAATCAAATGAAAATTTGATTTGTACACTAACCAGAAATAACTAATTGATCAATATTCATAATGAAACTAATGTGGTCTATAATATAAAATAAGAAAAAGAGTATTACTCCTTCCATTTATATATTGCTCTCTTCCAGTTTAAACACATTGCCATGTGGTTTTTAATTTGAATATAATCTTGCTGAGTATAGAAAGATAAAGTGGTAAGCACTTCTGTAGCTACCAAGAACCATAAAGCATGCAGAAAATATGAGTTTGAATTTAAGTACTAAAACTTAAAATCCTATCAGATAGTATTCACTTTCTCAGCTATAAGATGACATGTAATATATTCAGAGACATGCTGTTGTTAATAAATCTTTGCTAAATAAAAATATAAGTAAATAGTAAATGATGATGAAGTTCACAGAAATAACAGTAGCAATGAGTAGGGGCATTTCAATTACAACTGATGCCAAGTAGAGATACCATCACTCTATTTGAATATATGAGCTATAGCAAATTTTAGAGAAACGATTTCCTACTAGTCTTCAAAGGACAACATTAGCATCAGTGATTAAAAGTGTATAATGAAGATAATATTCAAGCTTCACTGAAGAAAGAAAGCAAATTGGTACTTAAAGGCTTTTCAATATTAAACCTATTTGCTTTGTCTATTACTTATATACAATAAATATCAACAATTAGGAATATAGTAAGAGTTTTTAGGTTGATGGTATTTAGTTTCTTCACTGCTTTTCAAATACAAGATCCTTGTGTTATATTATTTATAAAATTACTTCAGTAAATTTAAAACCATGCTTACATAATATATACCTATGTTCACACCTAAGTATTCACTTTGCACACAAGAAAGCTTTTCTGGCAAATAAACATGGCATATTAATAATATCCCACTGTAGCTTTTTGACACAGTGGAAGACAACACATGTCTAAAATTAATCTTGTAAGAATTTTGGAAACAACCAACCAATTGAGCCTGATTTGACATAAGACCTACATGAGATGTAGCCTAGACTCAAAACTGCTAAGTTATCAAGATCCCAGAAACCTAGGGTCAAAGAAAATACTACTGATCTTTAAAAGATTGGCGATAAAATGCCTCCTAATTATATTTATTCTGTAATGCTCAAAGATCATTTTCTTCTTCAGCCATCATCAGAGAATCTTTCTCCTGTATTGAGACAAATACAAAGAGCCACAGCCAGGCATTACACACATGCTCGCACGCAAATGCAAATACACACACACACACACACAGACAGAGACACAGAGAGAGAGAGAGACAGAGACAGAGACACAGAGAGACAGAGACAGAGAGAGAGACAGAGAGAGAGACAGAGATAAAACAAGAGAGACAGACTTATAAAAACAGGCAGAAAGAGAGAGAGAGAGAAAGAGTCAGACCCTGACAAAGATGGGGGGATCTTGGAACATTGAGCTCTAAATGGGATATCTCTAGCAAATTCTTATGCTAAGAGCTTAGGAAACTCCATGGAAAAAGAGGTGGAAAAAGTAAAAGAATCAGAAGGGATGGAGGACACTGGGAGAACAAGTCCCTCTAAATCAGCTTCAGTAAATTCATAGGAATTCACAGAAACTGAAGCAACAAGCACAGGGCATATTGAGTCTGCGCCAGGTCCTCTGCTATATAGGAAGACTTTCAGTTTGAGTTTTTATCGGACTCCTGAGTATGTGAGTGAATGTATCTCTGTTTCTTGTGCCTTTGCTTGAGCTTTTTCTTCTGTTTCTTTTCCTTATCCAACTTTGATGTGATTTCTTTTCTTATTATATTTTATTATGTTTTGCATTTATCTCTTTGCAGCCTGTTCTAGTCTAATGAGACAGAAAGGGAGTACAGCTGGATGAGAGATGTGGGAAGGAACTGGGAGCAGTAAAGAGAGGAAAAGTTGTAGTCAGGCTATATTGTAAACCAGGAAAGGGGATAACATTTGAAATGTAAATAAAGAAAATAATCAATAAAAAAGTGAAAATTAAAAAAATTTAAAATAATTATTAAACTCTACCTTACCTGGAATATAATTATCGTATGCTCCATATGTTACTTTTAGGCTATTGAAATAAAAGGGAAAAGTTTTAATGATTTTATACAAAAAACATTATTATATGTAAGCAATCATCACCAAACAGGTAATTATTGATTTTTCAGTAATTGTAAGCCAATCTCATCTACGGGACAGTAGGAATGAGTGAACATTATTACAACTTCACCAAAGTTAATCTGTGATAGAGAATCTATCTATCTATCATCTATCTATCTATCTATCTATCTATCTATCTATCTATCTATCTTTCTATCTGTATTGTGTAGAGGAGAGAGAGGGGTGAGAGAGAGAAGGAAAGAGAGATTTAAAGCCTACTTTCTTATCAAATTTGAATTTTACAGGCTTTCAAAAATAATTGTATAGATATTTTAAGAAAATTATCAAGTTAACAAATTATGTTGTAATTAATACCTTCTCACTTTCTTTGTTTCTTGTCATAGAAAAACACTTGCTACTCAGAATGAACATATTGTTAACCAATTTTTATTTATTGTAAAGAGAGATCAACAGCAATATGCATTAGTGCTATTGCCCTATACTTTTCTACTCTGCAACAAATGGACAGCAATTGCTGATCCTAACTGAAGCAGAGCATTAATTGTATACTCAAATACACCTCAAGTATACTTAGTTTCTCAGTTTTCCATTTATTTTTTTCATATGCATGGGAATGTGGTGTTTGCATTTGTATGAATGTTTGAAATATGTGCAGGTACATGTGTGTGTTAGTGTATAAGCATGTGTGTATATGTACATGGGAAGGCTAAACTCAATGATTATCTTCAATATGTACTGAAACATAGTACTTCACTTGATGGCAGAGCTCACTGATTTAGCTCGTCTAAATTGCTTGCTATGACAATCCTGTCTCCATGCACTGGAAGCATAGGCATGCATTTATATATTAATGACAGTTACATGGATTCTGGAAATCTGAACTGTTCTTAGGCTTATACATCAAGTACTGAATGCAATGAGCCACCCATTTACCTCCATATTTTACTTATTTGATAATATATGAAGTTAAAAATCAATCCTCCATCTTTGTCTCAACTGTAGAACAATTTTCTGGTCATTGAGTGTACATAGCTGAGTTATTTTAATGGTCCTGATCTTTCATCAGCAATTTTTTTTAATTAAGAATTAAATACAAAATGAAATATATCAATATGTTGGAATACTATAAGGTGTCATAAAACAGAATCTGTAGATTTGATACCTCATTATGCCAAATGATTGTTTAAAATCAATCTTTTGAATCTTTGTATAAAAAAACAATAAAACAGTATAAAGAAAAAGGGAGGAGAGAAAAGATATTTCAAATCATTTTAGGTCAATATTAATATATCACAAACTGTCAAGATTACTAAAAATTCATAATACAGAAAATCACTCCTTAATAACTAGGTCCATAATACTTTAAATTTCAACATATTCTTCTAAAAAATAAAATGATGGATCGAATAATAACTGAAGTTTACACTCCACAATAAAATTCAATTTAAAATAAAATTAATGGCACATTCCTCACAATAAATAAACAATATGATTAACATAATATGCAGAACAAATTATGAAAATAATATTCATTTATATTTCATTCATTTATTGCAAGAAAATAGAACTATAAACTGTTAATAGCAAAATCAATACTTTAAGATTGTCTATCTCCTATAATATGAAAGCAAAATCACTTACTCCTATGACCATTATGTCTAATATCCATTCCTTGTTTTACAACAATAGAGACATGGAGATTGGAATGACCAGAGTCAATCTATGTGTATTCACAGAAGAGTTGAATGGGTAAGTAAAATGCCTAATACAATTCATTTAAAAAAATGCATTGTTGACTGAGTGTGCTAAGGTTATAGATTGTAGTTGTTTAACTGTGTGATGGTAAGTTCTAATTATTGATTTGATTCAACATAGGATCACTGGGGAAATAGTGTCTGCAAGGGTTAGATGGTGGTGACTCATGACTTTAATTCAGTGTTGGAGAGGCAGAGTAAGATGTATTTCTGACTCTAAGGCCGGCCTGGTCTACAAAGCAAGTTCCAGGAGAGCCAGGGCTATAGGGAGACCCTGTGAGGTTCAGGTGAAGGAAGTGAGAATGTCTGTGAGGGGATTATCTAATTACATTGATTCATGTGGGAAGATTCACCCATAGTGGCAGTACCTTCCATGGTAAGAGAAAGTGAGCTAACCAATAGCATGCACACATGAGTTCATTGTTTTCTGCTGTAAACTATGGTGGAGATACAGTGGGGTCCCTCAAGATCTAGTCACTGTGATTTTCTGACATGGTAGATTATAACCAGAAACTAAGAGATGAATAAACACTTTTTCTAGGATTGCTTTTATCAAATAGTTTTTATCCTGGTAGTAAATATGAAACTGAAACCAATTACATAATTTATAATTCTATATATCTGAAACTGTGAGTTATAATTTAATGACATCAAACAAATATATGAAGAAAAAATTTAACAGCTAAAGTTAACATAAATAACATACTGAACACATGGTCTTAAATATCTACAGAGCACTCCACATAACAAACATAGATTATTCATTCATCTTAGTGAAGTATTCTCTAGGATAAATTAGAATAGAAAAATAAAAGTTTTCAACCCGTTAATGCAACATTGGAATCTCACAGAGTATCTTTTCTTATAATAATGAAATAAAACCTCAAACCAATAAGAAAATACTTTATAACATTTAGACAATTCAAATCCAAGAATATTAAAGACATTACTCTTTTATTAATTGGTTTTCTACAATTTATGTATTATATTTATTTATTAAATTGGTGTACTAAATAACAAATTTCCTTGTGTTATTTTCATACACACAGGACTATTTGACACTATCTCACAATATAAAGATGCATATACAGAAACACACAGAAATTCACAGACACACAAACACACACGCATACACACACATATCTTCTCTCTCATTCTCCCTGTAGCTCCCACAACACACAAACCAGGTTAATTCATTTAATAAATTTTTCAGTTCCATCTATTTTTCAGCAAATCTTATACTCTCACTTTTCTTTACAATTAAATTAAATTCTACTGTGTATACTATAGTTCCATAATCCATTAATCTTTTGAAGGATGTCTAGACTAATTCCATATCTTTGCTATTATTGATGAATAAGCAAATATCTCTGTTTAATCACCAGTATGTTAAGAGAGAAATAGAGAAGCAAAGCTTAAATTTCTTGAAACAATTGACTATGGAAATGCAGAATACCAAAAATTTTATACTAAACGGATTATACATTTAAAAATATCTGCTACATCAAGTATTTGGACATATCTCCAAGAAATACATTTATTCTACTTCAACTGCAAAAATAAGAAAGGAAGCTCAATAGTATTGTGTTTGTGAAATAAGGTAGCATAGAAACACAAGTGATATATTATCTCAAGAATATGTCATATAAGCGGTTGATATCATAGATGTAGGATTAGGATTAGAATGATGGTCATTAGATACTGTAAAGTGTGTGTTAAATACTTTTCCTATTAGTGTGATAAAACACTCAGACAGGGAGGCAGAGGCAGGCATTTCTCTGAATTTGAGGCCAGCCTGATCTACACAGTGAGTTCCAGGACAACATGTTATATTCCAGAACACTGTTTAGTTTGGAATAGCTAAGTTCCTCAAGTCCTAAACACATTCATGGGAAATGGACTCAGAGCATCTTAAGACTCTTTTATAAACAATGATACGATCCAGGGAAGTGGGCTCTGGGACCCACAGAAGTTTTTTAATGTTCAAATTTGTACAAATCAGATCATCTACAGTTAACATGAATTGTAAAAGGTTTAAAAGAGCCAGCCTCCCCTTTATATTTCTCAATTCCATTCTTTTGTCTTGCCTTCGGGATTTCTACACAAGGTTTTACATGATTGAAAGGGATTTTGTTTATTAATTATTAATTAATTTATTTATCTCACTGATTTTCATAATTGATTTGGACAGAAATAGCTTAAGTGTAAGAAAACTATTATTATTGAATTACTTTCTCTGTCTAGATAGCCTGCTTCATATGTCAGAATACTTTACAACTCAGATTTCATCAAGAAGAGTGCAGTTCACAGCCTAATAGTTTCCTTCATGTAGGAATTTCACCATTATACTTCAGCCTTAAAACACCTGACTCATGGCCTTTAAGGTTCACGCATCATTTTTGTAACAAACATAAAACATGTTCCCATAAATTTGTAAGTGGCCCAGAGAGGGATGATCCTCCCTTAATTAACAATAATTCACTATATTTTATGATAATTTCTAAATTAATCATGACATGAAATTAAGACTTTTAGAAAAAAAATCCAAATCTCCACATTTCACTGAAGTAGAGAAAATAAATCTTATATCAATGTAACCAATGCTATTGCCTAAGAATGAAGCTCAGTAATTTAAAGCCATCTTCCATGCTTATGATTGGCCTAAAATCAACATAATGCACATTACTTCACAGGAAAGATAATAACTGCTCAATTAACTGAGAATTTCCATTATTTTAAAACAGAAAACTTGACAAAAAGACTTACAATCTTGGTATAGACATTTCTCCCACCTGTGACGTGCCAGGGCCTAAGTTTGGTGATATGAAAAAATGATGTCATAAAGAGAACAAGAACCCTGTGTCATAAGGGGAATGCTGAGAGCCTCTATGCTTGGATTTTCTGTCATCTAAAATTCTAAGAATAGACTGCACTATCATTCATCCTACTGAGTAAGCCTAAAAATCAGTGATAGTTTAATAAATACTTGTTGTCTAAGATTTTTAGATATTAACATGATTGGATTGTTTGTTTGTTTTATTTTGTTTTTATTCTCTCATATTACATCCTGACCACTATTTCCCTCCCTCTTCTTCTACCCCTAGTCCACCTCATCTCTCCCCCAAATCCACTCCTCCATTTTTCTTCATAAAAAAGCAGGCCTCTCAGGAATACCCACCAAACATGACATATAAGGATGCAATAAGTCTAGGCATATATCCTCATATTAAAGGTGAACAAAGTAGTTCTACAGTATCAAAGGGGTCCAGAGAGCAGGCAAAAAGGTCAGAGACAGACACTACACAACCATAACATATATGCAGAGGACCCCTAGGTCAGATTCATACAAGCTCCTTGATTGTAGGTTCAGTCTCTGTGAGCCCCTATCAGCACAAGGTAGTTGATTGTGTATATATATATATATTTGGTAATGTCCTTGAGCCCTTGGGTTCTTACAATCCTTCCTCTTATTCTTTAGATGGGTTCCCTGAGTGCCACCTAATCTCTGTATCTGTTCTCATCAGTTGCTGGATGAAGCCTCTCTGATAACCAATCTTCAGGCTCTGGTCTACAAATACAGCAGAATATCATTAGGAATTAGTTCATTGATTTTTTTTTCAGACATGTTTGGCTCGGTCTTAGGTCTCTGGGTTATAAGATCTCTAGTTCCTGGCCCTCTAGGAAGTGTCAGACATGTGATCCCTGTGATGACTTGAGTCTCAAGTTGGACCAGTCATTGGTGGCCACTCTCCTAAGTTCTGTGCCACCTTTAACACCAGCACATCTTGCAGGTAGGATAAATTGTAGATGGAGGGATTTGTATCTGGCTGGGTTGATGTCCCAATCCCTCAACTAGAAGCATTGCCTAGATAAATTAGGGTTTTGGGGGTTTTTTTGGTTGTGTTTTTTTTTCTTTTCTTTTTTTCTTTGCTGTGTTTTGTTTTGTTTTGAGAGAAGGTCTCTCAATGTAGTCCTGGCAGTTTTAAAAATTCCTATGCAGACAAAGTTTGCCTCAAACTCACAGAGATCCTCCTCCCTCTGCCTTACAAGTGTTGGAGTTAAATGTGTTTGCCACCATTCAGGGGCTTATTAGCATTTTTAAGAAAAGAGAAAGTTTAGTATATATCTCTGACAATCTATTATAATGCTAAATCTTTTACATTCATATACCTTTTGTTAAATATTCTTCCTAGCTCTACATTTGTTTTTGCCTTCTTAACATGATATCAATGCAATAGGTAAAATATGTCTGAATGCTTCAGACAGAGAGGAGCTGAAGATGTGATTCCATAGCTAAGAGTGCTTGCTTTTCTGGGAAAGAAATTTGTTCTGTTCCTAACACTCATGTTGGATTTATTATAAAGTCCTGTAATTCCAGCTTCAGGAAATACTGAACCTTCCCCTCGCTTCTAAGGACACCCCAAAATGAGTGCACATACCCACATGCATCCATATCCTAAAAATAAATGTGAAAATAACACAATACATAAAAAATTACAAACATAATGAGACATCACTGGGCATGAGAAATGATAGAAATCGTGTCATCTTTGTGCTTCTCAGTGGATTTTTGCTCTTAACCTTTCCTTCTTGGCATAATTTGATTTTACTTCATGACTGAGGTAAAATCCTCATTCTTTATGTCTACCCTATTTTCTTTGTCCATTATCATTTAATGAAGCATATAGGTTGCTTCCACCTCTAAGCATTAATAAACATGCATGTAGAAGAACTCACAGTTCTTTTGATAAACATCCAACAGAGCTTTGTTGAGAAGCTTCTACATTGATTTCAATAGTTAGTGAAGCAGTTTACATTTCTGCCAGCATGGAATAGGTATTGCTCATTACTTCCAGCCTCAACAGCATTTACTGTCATTTGCTTTCTTGAGATTAGTCATCTCGTGATGCAATCTTAATTTTTTCTAACACTTAAACCTCTGTCTGTCTTTCTATCACATGCCATCTCATATTACCATGATTGTTCTCATACACTCATGGTAGGATTTTAAATAAAAAATATTTCTCAAAGGCTTAGTTATTGGACTACTTGGTCCCTAGATTGTTTGAAGACGTTTAGGAGATGGAACCTTGCTGGAGTGACTACATCACTGGTCTGTGGGGGAAGGGGTGGTGACAGTGTTTAGCCTCATCCCTCTTCTAGGTCATTTGTCCTGCTTCCTGTATGTGCACAGAAATATGTTTATTATGTGCCAGTATAACTATTGATACACAAACAAACATGTACTCACCCAGATAGTGGACCAACAGCAGAGCAATTGAATATATATTGTGTCTTATTGTATATATGATGCATGGAGTATGCTTTTATATTTTAAAGGGATTAAAATTAAAAGATTGCTCTGATTCTCAAAACCACCTTCAGAGTTTTGAGTAGTGTCAATTCTGTTAAAGGCTCTGGGGACTTTTGCAATTGAGGTGAATGAATTTTGCATTATGATATGGCTATGACTCTGGAGGCTAGGGAGTGACATGTGGTGACTGGCGCTAGATGGCTCAGGTTGAATATAGAGCTATTTTTCAAGCCAAATTCAGTAAAATGATAAAAATAAATATAATTGATTTATCCTACAGTTTATTTAATTTAGAACATGATATAGTTCCTCCTTTAATCTCTCTTTTTAATTTGAGTTTTGAACAGAGATTGTTTAGTGAATTTCAGGTCAAGTAGTTTTACCCAGATACTTTGAATCCAAAATTGCATATCTTAATCACTATGGAAGTGGCTTATTTGTATTTGCAAAGATGTATGTAAAAGGATTTGTAATTATGTAGAACTACTTTTCCCCATGAAAGTCAGAAAGCCCCAAGTATATACAGAGTAGATTTTTAGCATTTGCTGTGGTTTGAGTATAATTTATCTCCCAAAGTTTCACATACAGACATGTTGATCCCAGTGGGTTTGTTTCGATGGAGCCTTAAAGAGATATGCCTTGTGGAAAGTAATTAGGACCTGGGGCTCAGGCATTGTAAATCAATTAAAGCTTGAATCATAGTGTGTGTTGTGTTTTATGATAAAAACATTAGTTCTCCTGAGAGAACTACTGTTTGTTCCTTTCTGTAGGTGGCTGTTTTTATGTATGTTTCTTTGTCATATTATAGCACAACAATAAGTTCCCTCCACAGGATATTGATACCATACTGTGTGTACCTTGCAGTTAGTAGAACTATATGTCAACTAAACTTTGGACAGATGCAAAACTCATAGTAGAGTCCAGCAACTTTAACAACTCCCACACAGTTTCTGAAAGGCAGAAGTAAGAAAATATACAAAATATATAATTTGCTAGTGTTGAATTATTTCTTCCATATTAACAGTCATAATCACCTTTTAATTAATTTACCTAACACTTGCATAATAAAAGGATTTTTTCTCTTTGTCTTGATTTTTTAAAATGTGAAATAAGTAGACTCATTTATAAATTAAATAAATACTTGTGGCAGTGTACATGCCAAAAACAATCTCATAGTGGGTATTTTGAGTAGTAGTTAATTCTTGCGGGAATAAAATTTATAATTAGAACCTAAAAGCTGATGCTTGCAAAATAATCTGTATCTAGGCTTATATATGTGTGAAAGTATTTTAAGCAAGAAATGTGTTTGAAGCTGGCTCATAACTAAGAATATACCTACATGTTATTTATGACAATTTTATAACTTAAAACTTCCTTTTGTATATGATTGAGAAATAGCATAACACTTGAAGAAGTATAATTATATCCATTACATTTGAGTGTTGTGAATCGATATAAATTTATATAAAATGATACCCAGTAAGTAATACTCGGTATATAACAAATGGTCCAGACTTACTTATTTCAGCGTATTTTTCTAGCACTTTGATGTAAAATATTAGTTTGTAAAGATAAAATTATACTTCCGTGATTTCCAGAACAGACAAAGTTACGGAAAAGATGAAAAAAGGTAAGGAAAACTTGGGAATCAGTATACATGTAGTATAAAATGATGATGCCCAAGAATCAAAATAGCATGTTTCACATAACATTTTGTAACAATATATAAGGGAAGGAAAGACAGTGATTCTGGACATAAGTTGATGTAACAAATCAATATCTGAAAATTTAGGAGACAACATGGCATTGTACCTATATTTTTCAGACTAAGGCCCAGCACTGATATCATTAAAACAGAAGAGAATAGGGAAGAAATAGAGATATATGGATCCAGGAATGCTTTGAGCATGTAAAAATATTTTGTTTCCTATTTACATATGGAATTTTACCACTTAGTGTTACCTTAAAAAAGAAAAAAAAAAACTGTTACAAATGTACTTATCCCTGGCTTTGGGATAGCTTAGGTTTATCTGATGATCTATATTTGTCAGAATACAAAGTGGGATTCCTTCTCTCTTTCCTGTAGATATTGCAGATATCCCAAGGCAGTTATTTTGATATATTATCTCTCGTGTAAAGATGGTCACCAATGAAAAGTTCATCATAAATTGTTGTAGTCAATAGATGATATGTGATTGTGTGAGAGAATTGTTCAATGAATGGATAATATTTTCAGAGTCACTGTGGGTCCTCCTCAAAAGAATGGTAGTTGTTTAGTCCTGCTGGAACCAGGTTTGAGTAGCCACTATAACATGCTTCTTATTCAGAGTTTCTTCCTGTAGATAGGGTAGAGAAAATTTTACTTATTTAGATATATACTGGTGAAATCAGTTTATTAACTAAATATAAAATGTTCAGTGATTTTTGCTCACTGGAAGGCAGAGAATCATTGGATTATATGAGACACAAAATTATTGAAGCATTTTAAAAT